CAGCCGGGATTTGGCCTTAGATATTTTGGCTTCGAAGTCCATGCTTCTGACCGCTATGCCCTTATAAGCATCCCAGAGAGCTTCTGCTACCCCTATCCTGCCCTACCCCTATTGCTGGCATCTTTGGGGTAAAAGACAATTTTAGGTACAAACCAGAAAGATGAGCTCCACTGGAGTTACTGGGAATGTAAGGCAGCATTTACAGCTTGGCTCACTTTGCATGAGCAAATTGTTCTACTTCTAGGAAAAAAAATCAGTTTGGAAGCTTCAGATGCAAATGGTCCCATGACATCATCCATCTTCTGCATGTCATAGACACCGGATACCTGGGAAGCTGGTGCCAATATAAATGGTATTTATTGCTACATTTTTGTCATTTATTTGTTTTTTAAATTTTTATTTATTTTGCTCAGATAATTTTGACCATGAAGAGTCCTGTTGACCTGGCCAAATACTGATGAAATAACTTCACTATCACACATCACACTCTCGGTGTTTAGTAAAGAGGAAGCTTGCGTTTTAAGATGAATATAGGAAAATGTTAGTGTCTCTCTCTCTCTCTCTCTCTCTCAAAGATGATTGTATTTCCCTCACATTTCTTGGGCTTTCCACCCCACCCTAATATGGACAGAAATGTTTATCATTATGGGATGCTGGAATAACTGTTTAACCTAAGTGTGTAAATGTGGGGAATGCTGACAAAAATGATATGTTTCTAGTTGCAAAATGATCTCATTGAAGAATGGGGCCTTGTTCACAAGCTCCTCTCAGATCCAGAAGTTGTATTACCCTCTGGCCTGTACATGAAACAACTGGAACTACATGGAGACTGCTTCCCAGAGCACCTTTTATATGATCAGCATATCACAAAGTATTTACTGAATGCTTGCAACATACTTAGCACATGCAAGTATTTGAAGAGGTGCAATCAGCATAATTTTTTTTTGAAAAAGAAAGAGAAAGAAAGAAAAGAATGAAAGAGAGAAAGAAAAAGGAAGAGAAAGAGGGAGAGAGAACGAGAGTCTTGCTTTATTGCCCAGGCTAGAATGCAGTCTGAAAATGGGTATTAAAAACCTCTTTTATGCCAATAATTGTGCTTAACAATGGAGACAGGAAGGAATAAGGGAGGAAAATAACAAACAAGGAGCCAAACAATATTTCATTTAAACCTGTGAAATGCTATGCAATTACTGAGGAGTGATTTACTTCCAATTATGTAGTCACTTTTAGAGTAGGTGTGATGTGGTACTGAGAAGAATGTATGTTTTATGGATTTGGGGTGGAGAGTTCTGTAAATGTTTGTTTAGTTTACTTGTTCCAGGTCTGAGTTCAAATTCTGGATATCCTTGTTAATTTTCTGTCTCGTTGATCTGTCTAATATTGACAATGTGATGTTAAAGTCTCCCACTATTATTGTGTGGGAGTCTAAGTCTCTTTATAAGTCATTAAGAACTTGCCTTATGTATCTGGGTGCTCCTGTATTGGGTGCGTGTATATTTAGGATCGTTAGCTCTTCTTGTTGCATTGATCCTTTTACCATTATGTGATGTCCTTCTTTGCCTCTTTTGATCTTTGTTGCTTTAAAGTCTATTTTATCAGAGGCGAGAATTGCAACTCCTGCTTTTTATTTATTTATTTATTTATTTTGCTCTCCGTTTGGTTGGTAAATCTTCCTCCATCCCTTTGTTTTGAGTCTTTGTGTATCCTTGCATGTGAGATGGGTCTGGATGCAGCATACCGATGGGTTTTGGCTTTTTATCCAATTTGCCTGTCTGTGTCTTTTGATTGGGGCATTTAGTTGATTTAAATTTAGGATTAATAATAATATATGTGAGTTTAATACTGCCATTTAATGCTAGCTGGCTGTTTTGCCCATTAGTTGATGTAGATTCTTCACTATGTTGATGCTCTTTACCTTTTGGTATATTTTTGGAATGGCTGATACTGGTTGTTCCTTTCTATGTGTAGTGCTTCTTTCAGAAGCTCTTGTAAAACAGGCCTGGCGGTGATGAAATCTCTGAGTACTTGCTTGTTCACAAAAGATTTTACGTTTTCTTCACTTATGAAGCTTAATTTGGCTGGATATGAAATTCTGGGTTGAAAGTTCTTTTCTTTAAGGATGTTGAATATTGGCCCCCACTCTCTTCTGGCTTGTAGGGTTTCTGCTGAGAGATCTGCTGTGAGTCTGATGGGCTTCTCTTTGTGGGTAACCTGACCTTTCTCCCTGGCTGCCCTTAGCATTTTCTCCTTCATTTCAACCCTGGTGAATCTGACAATTATGCGCCTTGGGGTTGCTCTTCTTGAGGAATATCTTTGTGGTGTTCTCTGTATTACCTGGAGTTGAACATTGTCCTGCCTTGCTAGGTTGGGAAAGTTTTCCTGAATAATATCCTGAAGAATATTTTCCAGTTTGGATTCATTCTCTTCGTCACATTCAGGTACACCTATCAAACTTAGATTAGGTCTTTTCACATAGTCCCATATTTCTTGGAGACTTTGCTCATTCCTTTTTACCCTTTTTTCTCTAATCTTGTCTTCTCGTTTTATTTCACTGAGTTGGTCCTCGACCTCTGATATCCTTTCTTCTGCTTGGTCAATTCGACTGTTAAAACTTGTGGGTACTTCGTGAAGTTGTTGTATTGTGTTTTTCAGCTCCATTAATTCACTTATATTCTTCTCTAAATCGTCTATTCTCGTTAGCATTTCGTCAAACCTTTTTTCAAGGTTCTTAGTTTCTTTGCATTGGATTAGAACATGTTCCTTTAGCTCACAAAAGTTTCTTATTATCCACCTTCTAAAGCCTGATTCTGACAATTCATCACACTCATTCTCCATCAGGCCTTGTTCCCTTGCTGATGAGGAGCTGCGATCCCCTAAAGGAGGAGAGGCATTCTGATTTTGGATGTTTTCAGCCTTTTTGTGCTGGTTTCTTCCCGTCTTTGTGGATTTATCTACTTGTCATCTTTGTAATTACTGGCTTTCAGATTGGGTCTCTGAGTGGACTTCCAGCTTGTTGGTGGTGATGTTATTTCTGTTTCTTTGTTTTCCTTCCATGGATACCCCTCCCCTACAGAGCTGGACCTTTCCGGGTTCAGCTGTGTTTGCTGTGAAACTCTCAACCGTCAGCGTTTCCTATTGCTGTTTTTTTGTAGGGGTGGGACCAGCCGAGCCCGATCACTTGGCTCCCCGCCTCGGAGCCCCCTTTTTTTCTTTTCCTAATTGAACAGTTGATTCTCTCCCTGGTACCCCAGTCGCCTGCCAAAAAGGCACTGGGATCTATGCAATTTCCCATGAGGCCACCGGGCCGGATGAAACAGCAGCGCTGAGATTCATGGCGCTTTTCTGCCCAGAAATCTCCCGGTCTGGCTCCCCACCTCAGTCCCCCTTTCAATCAGCTGAATGGGCAACTCTGCCTTCCCGGAGCTCCAAACACCAACCAAAAGGGCACCCAGTCCCGCATACTCTGCACTGAGAACCGCCACGCCGGCCAAAAGAGTCACGCCGGCGACGCGTGGGGCTCCTCTGCTGGGAATCTCCTGGTCCGTGGGCAACAAAAATTCATCTGGAAGTCTGGCATCCACTCACTCCCTGCGCCTTCACTGGGAGCTGCAATCCTGAGCTGCTGCTAAACGGCCACCTTGGATCTCTCTCCCATAAACAATTTTTAAAGATATTTGTATTCTTGGTGGAGGGATGGGGAGACAAACTGATGTGCAAGACATGATAACAGAATATGGAACCAGATAATTAATTCTATGGCCCTGGCAGTTAGCTTACTATTTATCCAAAAAAGGAGGTTGAAGAAAGATTTCATGGAAAAGGAGGGACTTGAACGAGGCCCTAATAGAATTTGTTTCTAGAGAATGGCAAGGGCAGGGCTACAGTGCTGAGAGTGACCAACTGGCCCTGGGGACAGTGAAGGCACAAACCCGAGGAGAGAAGGAAGCTGAGGCTGAGGAATTAGGAAACCTGAGACTGATGTTATTTTCAACTATTTAATTTGAAATGATCTTTCAAATATTTCCTGCAAGATAAAATCATGACACTAAGGCAAATATAAAATAACATGTTTCAAGGATTTCATTTTATTTTTTAAAGATTATACATCAAATATTCATAGGAAATCTCACCAGGGATTTTATTTAATTTATGAATTAATGGAAGAGCCAATAAGAGGTTAAAGAGAAGTTGTGAAGGATGCTGGGTGGATAGACATCAAATTTGTAAATTGATAGGCAGTTGAATGAATAAATGTTAGGATAAGGATAAATGTTTCGTTACATACGAAACCAGTTAATGTCTTATGGGACAACAAATCCTAATCTTTTGGGTTGTATGTTCCACTGGACAGAAGTTATTTGCATCTGTACTGGAAAAAAAATCCCTAAGTTAACACATAACTTTACTAAATCTGGGACATTTAATCCATAGCAAATAGTGAGCAAAATGAAGTACATTCACCTAGATAGTCCTTGGGTAGCTTTTGTCACATATGACATCGAAAAAGATGTGCCACTCACTTTTTTTTTCTATTGCTAACTTTTAGATAATTTAAAAAATAATACTGACCTACAAAGAAATGAAGAAAAATCTGGTTTACTGCAGTGCCCTTTTAAGGCTCTGTAGATGGGACCCCCTGTGTGTTCTTGTTCTATATTTAGTTCTTGAATAACTCAGACCGAGAAATCCGGAGGCCTCTTTGGCCCAGTGTCCCATCTTCTTTCTCCCATAGTCTTTTCATCTTCGTTACCACTGACAGCCAGCTCTCGGCTTGGGTTCTTCCTTCGTTCTTTAATTGAGATGTAGACAAGTAGAAATGGGGCCTGAGGCAGGTTCACAGATGGGAAGGGCTGGTTTAACCCTGCACTGGTCCAGAAGCTGAGCCTCCGTGCCAGTGAATGTGTCCGATGGGGGAGCAGGGTTCTCAGCGTGGGGAAGTTCTGCCTGTGAGCCCTTGCCTTTCTGTCTTGCTGACCCTTCTACCTGGAATCGCATGTCAGTGTGTTGCAGGTGCCATGTACATCACCGGCTTTGCTGAATCTATCTCGGATTTGCTGGGCCTCAGGAGTATCTGGGCTGTGCGAGGAATTTCAGTTGCGGTGCTTCTGGCCTTGCTGGGCATTAACCTAGCAGGTGTCAAATGGATAATCCGCCTACAGCTGCTGTTGCTGTTCCTGCTGGCTGTGTCAACACTGGACTTTGTGGTGGGTTCTTTCACCCACCTGGACCCAGGTAAGCCTTTTGGAGTCCTGTGTGTGGCCTTACAGATCTGCACTGCTTCATAGATGTTTGTGGGTGTGAGTCTGCCAACTTCATCTCCCCCTAACTCTCATAGGCCTTACCTACAATTGGCGTGGGCTGTTCCTGGATCAGGTGAATGGGTGTGTCTTGGAGCAGCTTCATGGGGATGGAAGCTCCTCTTCACATAGACATTGTCTAGCACATATTCTATGTGTCCTTTTATTTTCTTTCTATTAAAAAAACCAGGGTGGGAGCAGTGGCTCACGCCTGTAATCCCAGGACTTTGGGAGGCTGAGGCAGGTGGATCACCTGAAGTTTGAGATCGCAGGAGTATGAGACCAGCCTGGCTAACATAGTGAAACCTTGTCTCTATTAAAAATACAAAAATAAGCTGGGCGTGGTGGTAGGCACCTGTAATCCCAGCTACTCAAAAGGCTGAGGCAGGAGAATCGCTCGAGCCTGGGAGGCGAAGGTTGCAGTAAGCTGAGATTGCACCACTGCACTCCAGCCTGGGCAACAAGAGAGAAACTCTGTCTCAAAAACCCCCCAAAACAAAGAAAAACCCCCAGAAAATTTAGGTAAAACAAATAAAAAGCAGGAGTGGATAAAGATCAGATTCATAACAGTGATTGGTAGAGTGGGCAAGAAATCAAGATGAGAGTAGGGAAGAAGACTTTAAAAGACTTTTAAAAGAAAACAGACTTTCACAGTTTCTTTCCTTTTTTTTTTTTTACAAAAAAAGGACTTGATATAAATATAACATGTTAGCAATTGTCGTTTTTGGGAGATGAGGGCAGATATATGTTTGATTATTTATAGTTTTCTCTATAAAAATTTTTTTCAAAATATAAAAATATTAACTGCACTTAAATAAACAACCAGGTCTAGTTTTACAGCATTTGCAAATGGTATTATATATTTATAATCCATCACTGTCTAATCTAATCCTGGGTTTTCCCCACCCTTGAGGCTGCTTGGCAACTCTAATCCCACATCCTTATGCCTGGAGTGAGGAGCTATTACCCAGAGTGTGTATAACTTTGTAGCTTTGTGATTTGGACAGGTTTGGCACCAGGTCTTTGCTTCTCTCCAGAGTACAGAGCTAGTCCTAGGAAGTGATTGGAAAAAAGGCTGTTGCCTGATATTTCACACTTCAGGGAACTCTGTCTCTATGTAGCAGTAGTGACCAGGCATCTACATTGGAATACGGACAGGAAAAGGGAACTGTTTTTTGAAAAAACAAACCTGCAGCCCAGAAAATAACCTCTGATGCTGGTGGCAGTAAGGGTGATGATAGCCACTGCATTTGACGGAGTACCTGCTCTGTGCCAGACATTGTATAGTTAGTCAACTTAACACTTTATATGGTGTATCTCACTTAATCCTTATCATAACCTCTTGAGATAAGAACAGCTGTACCCCTTTTAGAGATGAGGAAACTGGGGCTCAAAGATGGTATACTTTGGGGTAATGCACAGCAGAGCTGGGATTTGAAGCTAGATCTGTTTGATACTAAAGCTGTTCCCTGAAGTGAGAAGTGGGGCCTGTTTGTGCACAATGACATGCTGTCTTTTTGTGACAGCAACTCTGCTTTTCCCCTTGGAGGCCACCCCTGATGTGTCCCTACACAGCTCTGTCTATTAGAAAAATGTTGGTTGTGGGAAGGTCAGCATTCAGTTGGCATCCACTGATCTGGCCTTATTACTTCTGAGCATGTTAAAATATTCTGTTGGAAAAGTGTCACTCCCTTGAGCTCCCTGAGTATCTCCTACCCACTGGCATCCTAGTCCCTCCCAAGAAACCTTCAGACAGCCTGACAATCTGGCACCTAAAGGGTTAACCTGGGGGCCACTCTAGTGCTCAGGGCCAATGTGATGTCCATACTGATCACCTGGAGTCCAGGCCTTGCAAATTGCTAAATATTTGACGCATCTCCAGGAAGGAAACAGTGATTTTTTTTTTCCCCTGGCCATGTACCACCCTGCAGAGATGGCTCACATACAGAAGGAGACTTGCTGGCCTTTGGCCATCAAACTGTCAGTGAAAGAAAGACAGAGTCAAGTACCCCGATTCCTGGTACTTCCACCTCCAGCGACACAGTTGCTGGAAGAACTTAATTAGTTAAATTGCAAGGCAATACTGGCTTCTTTGAAACCTCACACTGGCCTGATGTATTTTCCTTCTTCTTGATTAGAAGTTTTCTTGGCTGCTCTTCTAAGTTACTCCAAATATTTTTCCTTCCTTCTGGTCAATACATTAGAGTGTAGTGTGAAATGAAATTTATTTTCAATCATTCCCATAGCAACTGGCCCCTCAAGAATCTGTTTTTGGTATCACTGATGTTTCATATGGGATATTTTCTTTGTGGTTAAAAATCCAAACTGAAACCAAACTATAAACCTTCAGAATGAATTTAGCAGAGTGACTTCAACTCTTAAAAAAAAAAAAAAAAAAAAAAAAAAAAAAAAAAAAAAGAAAAAAAAAAAAAAAAAAAAAAAAAAAAAAAAAAAAGGACATATACATAAATATTTGAAAAAAAGACTGGAAGGAACTATGCCTAACTGTGAGTATCTTTCTGTTGAGATTACGTGTGACTAAATTATCTTATTTCTACTTTTCCTTCAATTGTCTAGTGTTACTTTTAAAAAAAATTAATAGATTTGCTGTTAGAGCAGTTTTAGGTTTATGGTAAATTAAGCAAATAGTGTAAAAGTTCCCACATACCCCTTTTCAACTTTCCCCACCGCAGTTTCCCCTATTATTAATATCTTGTATTAATGTGATACATTTACTAGAAGTGATGAACCAATATTGATATGTTGTTGCTAATAGTTTAGGGTTCACTCAGTGTTATGCATTCTGTGGATTTTGACAATATACAATGTTAAGTATGCAGGATTACAGCATCATACAGATGAGTTTCACTGCCCTAAAAATTCCCTGTGCCCTGCCTATTAATGCTCCTCAACTCCTGGCAACCACTGATCTTTTTACTGTTTCCATAGTTTTGGCTTTTCCAGAATGTCGTATAGTTGGAACCATATAGTACATGGCATTTTCAGCTTGGCTTCGTTCACTAGTAATATGCATTTAAGATTCCTCCATGTCTTTTTCTGGCTTGACAACACATTTCCTTTTGTCACTGCATAAAAAGAAACTGGATGTAGCACAGTTTGTCCATTCACCTACTGGAGGACATCTTGATTGCCTCCAGTTTTTGGCAATTATGAATACAACTGATATAAACATCCATGTTCAGGTTTTTGTGAGGATACATTTTCAATTCATTTGGATAAATACCTAGATGCATCATTGTTGGAGCATATGGTAAGACTATGTTTGTAAGAAGCTGCCAAACTGTCTTCTTAAGTGGCTGTACTATTTTGCATTTCCACCAACAATGAATGAGAGTTCCTGTTGCTCCACATCCTCATCAGCATTTGGTATTGTCAAGGGTTTTTTTTTTTTGTAATTCTAATAGATGCACAGTAGTATCTCATCATTGTTTTAATTTGTAATTCTCAAATGACATATAATATTTAATGTGTTTCTGTATGCTTATTTGCCATCCATATGTCACCTTTGGGGAAGTGTTAAGATCTTTTGCCACCCAGGCTGGAAGGCAGTGGCACGATCTCGGCTCGCTGCAATCTCTGCCTCCCAGATTCAACTAATTCTCATGTCTCAGCCAGCTGAGTTGCTGGGATTACAGGCGTAAACTAGCACACCTGGCTAATTTTTTGTATTTTTATTAGAGATGGGGTTTTGCCATGTTGGCCAGGCTAGTCTTGAACTCTTGGCCTCAAGAGATCCACCTGCCTCGGCCTCCCAAAGTGCTGGGATTACAGGCATAAGCCACTGCACCTGGCCACCATTGAGTTTTAAGAGTTCTTTGTATATTTTGGATTCAAGCCTTTTATCAGATGTGTGCTTTGCAAATATTTTCTTCCCAGTCTGTGGTTGGTTCTTTCATTCTCTTAACAGTGTCTTTTGTGAAGCGGAAGTTTCAGACTGTAATGGAGTCTAACTTATCAACTTTTTTGCATGGATCATGACTTGGGTGCTGTACCTAAAATCTCTTTGCTAAACACCTAGATTTTCTCATTTGTTACCTTTTAGAAGTTTTGTTTGACATTTAGGTCTATGATCCAGATTGAGTTAATATTTCATGAAGGGTGTAAGATGAGTGTCCAGATTATTCTGGGGTTATTTTTGGCACATGAATATGCAGTTCTTCCAGCACCAGTTATTGAAAAGACTCTCTTGTCTCCATTGAATTGCTTTTGTGCCTTTGTCAGGTAGCAGTTGACTGTATTTGTGTGTTTCTGCACTCTCTTTTCTGTTCCATTGCTCTGGCTATTCTGTCTTGAATACCATACTCTCTTGATTACTACAGCTTTATAGTAAGTCTTAAAGTTGGTTAGCATCTGTCCTTCAACTTTGTCCGTTTTCACCAGTGTTTTTTCTTTTTTAATTATTGTGCTTTAAATTCTGGGGTACATGTGTAGAACGTGCAGGCTTGTTACATAGGTACACATGTGCCATGGTAGTTTGCTGCACCCATCAACCCATCATCTACATTAGGTATTTCTCCTAATGCTATCCCTCCCCTAGCCCCCCTCACCCCCGATAGGCCCCAGTGTGTGATGTTCCCCTCTCTGTGTCTATGTGTTCTCATTGTTCAGCTCCTACTTATGAGTGAGAACATGTGGTGTTTGGTTTTCTGTTCTTGTGTCAGTTTGCTGAGAATGATGGTTTCCAGATTCATCCATGTCCCTGCAAAGGACATGAACTCATCCTTTTTATGGCTGCATAGTATTCCATGGTGTATATGTGCCACATTTTCTTTATCTAGTCTATCACTGATGGGCATTTAGGTTGGTTCCAAGTCTTTGCTATTGTGAATAGTGCCACAATGAACATAAGTGTGCATGTGTCTTTAGAGTAGAATGAAGTATAATCCTTTGGGTATATAACCAGTAGTGGGATTG